TTTGCACAAGCGCATGACCCAACACAGGAGGGCCAACTCCAGTGGACCAGAGTCAGCAGTCCACCTCCACCTGAAGGACAAAGGACATTCTTTTGAGGACAGTGAAGTCCAGATCCTCTCCAGAGAACATCGCTGGTTTGAGAGAGGAGTCAAGGAAGCTATTTTTGTAAAAATAGAACACCCCTCACTAAATAGGGGTGGTGGACTCTACCATCTACCACTCCGTTTTGAAATCTCTACCCAAACATTTCCACCCCAGTTCACACCCGGACAATAGGCGTCGGTCGACAGGGGAGGATTCACAGACAGGTAACGACTCTCACCGATACTGGGCTATAAGGACTCAGTCGTTAGGAGACATTGTTGAGCATCAAAGGACTGAAACACCAAGTGGGATGAATACCTCCTATTCACCACCAGTCAGATAGAACTGATGAAGCCTCTTGGATGAGAGGTGAAACGTCTTCTACCTAAAACGACGCTCATGACTAATAGTTTAGAAGCAGAACCACTGCTGAAAGTGGGCAGCTTTCCTCAAAGAAAAAGCAAGTAAAGTGACCATCACTTCATTTGATACTGTTATTTAAAAAAGTGACTTGCATTGCAAAATTGGATAAAAGGAAACTATTCCATCTCACTTGTCAAAGTCTAGTTTCTCTGAGACCTGAACCAACAGTTACGAGGTTAGTTGAGATTATAATTGCTTGCAGTGTAGAACAGAAAAGGACATGGCGATAAAGAGGTGGATGTGTACACGGGTGGTGTGTTCTTTACAGCTGCGTAAAATATGGCTAACAATGTCCTTGGACGATGTGAAATTACAGTAAAAACCAGTGGAATTATATCTCGCCTGATTGAGAAGACTTTCAATTCTCAGCCTCTGTTTGTATAGGATTTTAATTCTTTTTTTTTTTTTTTTTTTTTACACGTTGCCAAATCCAGTTTTCTCAACTGATCGATTGAGGACAAAGTATGCCAGCAGCTGCTGACTGCACTATTTCACCTAACCAGCCACTATTGGGAGTGAACATTAATGTTTGTGATGTTGTTTTGGCCTGCAACCCACTGTTTGTGCACAAGTTGGAAAATGGCATAGCCAAAATAAAATGGTTACTAGCTTTGAACCCCGAGGGTCTCTTTTGAAAGGTAACATTTAATAATTTACTATCAAACATTCAGAATTAACACATGTCATACAGTATACTGTATAAGCCATACTGAATCAACCATATGCACACCTATGTAAATCTTTAAAGTCATCCTTGCCTATTATTTTTCTTTTAACTGAGGTACTGTCTGCGGAGGCTAGAAGCACTTGAAGACTCTTAGTAACCAACTGATATTATAGGTTTTTAAAAACGTTAAATGCCATATATTTTGATAAATATCAACAAGGCTAAATAAACTACTAATAAAACTGTTTAATAATAAAACTGTGCCACTTTTCTGGGCATTCTGGCTGTTTTATCTGCACAAAAAGAAATGCTGATGTATAACTAATAACAGGTGACAGCTCTGTGAATACCTACTGCCTCCTCTTTGTGATCCTGGAACTTGATATTAGTAGGCTGCTACCTCCCGAGGGGTGCTGAAATTTAGCTCCCAGGATGCACCACCAAAGCATGCATAGGGCAGTGGAAACAAATACAGAGTCTGGAATGCAGACCCTTCCACACAGCTAAAAATGATGATGTCTGTGGTGTCTTGTACGACCTTTCTTTTGGATGCTAAGGAACATTTGGTTTCCCCACTTGGCCAACATCTTTGATGTCAAAAGATTAAAAAAGTATTATTTTTCCTTTTCTAAATGACTAAGTCCAGCCAGAAGAATTCTGGTGTTCAAATACTTAGAAATCTTTTTCTCTCTTTTTAAAAGGAAGGAAAACAGGTTATTTTGAAAACAAGTTGGTTATCCAAACTGTTTGTAGTATGGTGGTGCTGTGGTTAGCACTATCGCCTCATAGCAAGAACACTCTGGATTCAATCCCCAGCTGACCCAGGGTATTCCTGTGTGGAGTGTGCATGTTCTCCCTGTGCCTGCATGGTTTCTCTCCGGGTACTCCAGCTTCCTCCCACAGTCCAAAGGAAACCCATAGGAGTGAGTGTTGTTATTTGTCTATGAGTGTGTGTGTGGTTGTTTGTTTACATGTCAGATCTGTGATTGACTGGTGACCTGTCCAGGGTAGACCCCACCTCCCACCCAGTGTCAGCTGGGATTGGCTCCAGCCCCCCACAGCCCTAGTCAGGATAAGCAGTATAGATAATGGATGGATAGGGCTTTTTATGCAAAACCAAAAGTTGCACAAACAGCATCTGTTTACATTAACTGTTAAGTGAATGTATAGGGGAAACAATGTACCTGTATGTGGATTGTATTATTTCCACTCCCTAACGTCAGTTGCTTCAGGTCAGCAGCAAATGGAACTGATATATCCAGACTGTGCAGCATCTGACTGACTTTACTTGCTATTAGTGGGACGGACACCTGTAACGTGCATGACTGGGACACGTGCAGAGTATTTTTCATGGCTTATAAGGTACTTTTTGCACATGAATAAGGAAAGGACCAAACACACCACCCACCCACACACACACCTTGAGCACTGATAGTAGTTATACAAACCCCAAATCCACTGAACTTGGGACATTGTGTAAAACATAAATAAAAACAGAATACAATGACTTGCAAATCCTTTTCGACCCATATATAATTGAATGCACAACAAAGACAAGATATTTTATGTTCAAACTGATAAACTTTATTGCTTTTTGCAAATATTCACTCATTTTGAATTTGATGCCTGCAACACGTTCTAAAAGAGCTGGGACAGGGGCAACAAAAGACTGGGAAAGTTGAGGAATGCTCAAAAAACACCTCTTTGGAACATTGTACAGGTGAACATGTTTATTGGAAACAGGTGAGCATCATGATTGGGTATAAAAGGAGCATTGCAAAAGACTGTCATTCACAAGCAAGGATGGGGCACAGTTTAACTCCTTTGTGAACAACTGCATGAGCAAATAGTCCAACAGCTTAAGAACAACGTTTCTCAACATACAATTGCAAGGAATTTAGGTATTTCATCACCTGCAGTCCATAATATCATCAAAAGATTCAGAGAATCCGGAGAAATCGCTACAGCAGGGAGGCCAGGATGAGAAAGAGGCAATGAAGAAAAGATACAATTCAATCACAGTCACGTGGTGCGGGTCACAGAGTTCAAAGAAAAATGAAAGAAAATATATCAAATCTGCCATAGGTGTTAAGGCAGAATCTGTCTGAAGATCCAATAAGTCACACATCTTGAAAGCAAGCAGATAGTTGGCTGAACCTGCTGCTTTGTTGTGTTTTCTGAAGACCAGTCACGTTGACTGGTGCGGATAAGCCCTGAAGTGATCTCACCAGTACAGCAGATGTTGTTGTGGTAATAACAGTTCAGAACACTGTGCCCTTATACTGTATATGTCAGTAAACATGTTGCATTTAATCAGTCCTCCACACTTCTTTCTCCTCTCAGGTCTGCTTTGATTTTTACACTATGGCTTCTATTTTAGTGGTGGCATAACAACCAGCACAGGCAGTGCGTCTACAGTGTTTTGATTTCCTGACCTTGAAGTTCTCTTTTTGATTTTGGTATTATGCTCAGCAAAAGGTGAGAGTTTGAGTTAAACAAGAGAGCACAAAGTGGATACTATCCAAAATACCAATTATCCAGTGAATAGTTGGTATTTTGGAGCAAAAGTGAATGGTAAAATGGTCTTATACTTGTATAGCGCTTTTCAGCACACTCAAAGCGCTTTCACACTATTCGGCCATTCACCTATTCGCACTCACACACGGATGACATCACCAGGAGCAACTGGGGGTTCAGTGTCTTGCTCAAGGACACTTTGATATGTTGACTGGACAAGCCAGGAATCGAACTGCTGATCTTCCGGTTGGGGAAACAACCCGGTCTACCTCCTGAGCCACAGCCGCCCCCAAGGGTGATGATTTTATCAGCAAGAGCAAAATAACACACTAATTTGCAATGCAATTCCAACAATTACGAATTTATAATTTTAAACTATTTATACTCTCCAGTTAGCAAATGCATTCAAAGCAAAACTATGTATTGTCAAAATGATTAAACCGTAAACAGATTTCCAGGCCACAAAGCAAAGCAAACCTGCCTTCACCTTTGTTCTGGCTGCTAAATCCTGCTTTTTCTATAATGCTCGAGTACAGCCACTCTTCAGATGTGCCGGCTACCTCACAGAAATTGTTGCAAATTGTTAAAATTGATGCCACACAACATTGTCAAAGCCCGGCACACAAGCTACCCACTATGCAACCTGACCACTAACAATTTGATTGGTGAATCAGGCATGTTATGCTAGTAGTGGCTAATGTAGCTCAGACTTTTTAAATTCAGCTCCAGCCCACGCTGACTCAAGTGACATCACTTTAATCAGCCTTCACTCAGCTCCTGCAGAAGACACTCATGGCTTTATTTAACTTTATTCACATATGCAGCAGCACTCTCCAACACCTGGAGGTATACTTTGATATGTACCCCATTAATGTAAGACTGCAGGAGGTGCTGTTGCAAGCATACAGTGGCAGGTTCATTAAATTATATTAATGTTATTCACTCTGCAAAAGGGGTGAGAGAAAGGGCAAGTATCTGACAATATTTGGTTGCTGCTTATTTTTCTTTTATTTTCAGGTATAATAGAATGCCATGTTTTCATGCCCAGCGTCAAATATATTGACCTGTCTTCTGCTGTGGTGATGTTGACTCTTGAGAGTTTTGTTAGTTATTCTAAAAAGGTGAGAGAAAGGCCAAGCACCTGAGAATGTTTGGATGCAGCATCTCTTTTTATTTTCAGGTACATCAGGGCCACATTATTTGAGTACTACACACAGACTTGTCAGTTGTAACCTAGCAACCTAAATGAAGTGGGAGTCATCTGATTACCCTCATTTATTACTGCCCACTTTCCAACTATTTAAACACAAGTGATGTTCCATGTTTTATACTTATCTTTTATGCACAACACTGTTATTGTCTATCATAACTTTAAGCCTGAAGTACCATACCAGCTACACCCATGCGGAACAAAATCATCAGTGTTCACTTTGGAATGGCTGTTCCTTGCACCGTTAAAATTGAGCCGTGTAGCTAACAAGGAAGTTAAAGCACATAAAAATAAGTCATTATAGCACATACACTCTGTGCAGATGCTTATATAATTAAATTACTCTGAGAAAAACCCTCATAATTCCATGTTGCTGACATATATTATTACAGTTTTAATTAAGTAATGGGAACATGCAGCAATTACATGGAAAGGGACATGTGGTGGCTGCTGAGCTGATCACAAACAACAAAGCTTCCTGTTCTAAAAATGCATTACACTCTAGAGAGTAAAATTCACATTGATTAAAAGCCACCCAGGAGTTGTAGTGAGGTGAGTGGAGCACCTCCTCTGCAGGAATCAAAGTTCGCTCTCTGTGGGAACTGAAGCCTTTGGTGGTGATCAGGGAGACCAGAATGTCAGTGTCAGCCACTTCCTCAGTCACAGTTCGGCTGGGGTGGTGACAGGAGGGGCTGACCTGAGAGGGTGAGGAGGGTGAAGTGGGGGAAGTCTAGTGTGTGGTCACAGCTCGTAGTCAAACTTGTACTCTTGAGCCAGGTAGATCCTGCGGAAGATGAGTGCAGCCAGTGCCAGTGTGAGCACTACGATGAGGACAGCGGAGCCTGCGTAGCTTTCATCCTGAGGTTGAGGGGGGGCTGGGGTGAAGGCTGGCCTGCTGGCTGGAGCTCTGCTGTCTCTCTGGCCCTGCTGGTTGTGCTGTTGGCTGCGACGCTGCCGGGGGCTGAGACGATGATAAGTGTTGGGGGCCGTGGGAGGCTGAGATTCCTCTACTCCTGTAGCTGGAGACACCTCTGTCTGTAGAGGAGAATGGCATTGAGAGTATTAGTGAAACAAGAACCAGGTTATAGAGCTGAAACAATGAACCCACTGATCAGCAATGCTTTGTCCAGTAGATATGGCTGTGCTGAATTTGGATTATCCAACAGCTTTAATCACGGCCCACAGACTGAGCACTGACCGTCACTGGTACTATAGCCCAGTGACCCATGATATAATCTTATTATTCACCAAGTTATTTCTTTCTCTTTCGTACCACAGCAGTAAAAAACACAAAGAAATTTTTCTTACATTACCACTGGCACCACTATCCTATTCTTCTTCATGTGCTAATTTTTACTGAGAGCTGTTACTGAGAGCAGTTTCAAAAAACATGGGAGGTGACAGATTCCTTTTCATCTCCTAAAGTTGACAACTCTCTGGAATCTCTCCATCGCTTCAAACCTATTGGATCTGGTCAGAGATGAAGGATTAGTATCTGCTTCTAGCTTTTAATTCTACATCTGATTGCTCTCATCCCCTCCCACAGATACACATCCTCCGCCTGCCTCTTACACGCACACACACACACACACACACACACACACATCCGTCTTTGTAAGGACACTCACTGATATAATGCATTTCTTATCCCCTTACTTTAAACCTAACCATTAGAACTAAAAGCCTAACACCTAACCTAATTCTAACATGAACCCTAAAACCAAGTCTTAACCCTCAAAAATGTGTTTCTCAAAGTGAGGACTGACCAAAATGTCCTCACTTTCCACAAATGTTCTCACTCTGTAGTACATTTTTTTTTGGTCCTCACTATGTAGTAAGTACAAGAACACATATCCACACACAGACATCTGGATGTAGTCCCAACAAAGATTTATCATTTGTGCCTTGTGTCTGTTATACTCAAATATTACTGGCTGTATGATCAGTGCTTTTAGTATTTAATAAACCCATATTTTAATAAATTGTAATGTACTCTAATATTATCTGAAGTCAGCCTCTGCCATCAATGTACTCCAATTAGGCCTACCTTTGTTACACTGTTACCTATTGGTGTTATAAATCTGGTTGTAATATAATTGAAACTAAATTTAAACTAATTATTTTTGTAAATGCCTCCTTTATTTTGCTCATTTTAATTATTGATCAAATAATGATCAAATTCCAAACTTTGTGGTGAATCATTTATAAGAGTGAGAGCTAAGGACAAGTGGAGTGACATCACAACTTACTGTTGCCTGCTGTGATCACTCACTCTAAATCTCAGTCTAGTTGATCACATAATTGCTAGCAATTGCTAGTTGAAAGGCAGTATTTATGAGCTTCAGTCCAATCACAATTGTATATTTATTCAGGTGTGTAACATCAGAAATGGAAAAATGTGAATACAAACAATTCATTTGGCTAAATCAGCAGCTGCTGAGGAGCTGGAAAGTGAGAAAATGTATCAATTTTTAAGCAAAGTTGAAATAATTCAAAATTCCAAACTGTGAATAGCTTCTGGTTGTCTGAGTCTCGAGCAACAGTAAACTGAATATCTTTCGGGTTGGAACTGTTGGTCAGACAAAACAGGACAAGACATTACCACTTTTCACTACTATCTGTCATTTTTGGTCAAGAATAATCAGTAATGCAATTTATCAGTAGTTGAAGCCTATGCTCATCCTATATGCCTCTGTACAGCAGCAAGGCGGTGTGGGAAACTGTGCACCAGCCTGTTTTATTATTGATGCCTTTTTCCTCCAACATCTGTGCCAGATGGTGAGTCTTATTTTTAACATGGACCTTCTGAGTTTATCCAAACTCAGAAACAGTAATCTGAGTTGACCCTCGGCTCTGCTCCTTCAGACCACTGCCGTGGATCTGTGGTAGCAGCTGGTGCCAAAATCAGTCCTCTTAGGCAACCAAGCTGGCCCACAACATCTGCAATGGTGAAAAGAAGCTGTGCAAACACAGGCTTCAAGCCATCATAACACATCCTCTCTGATGTTAAGAGAGCGCAGATGTCTGGCTGCTTGATTTCACACACAAACTCCACGGAACAAATACAGATAGCATGCCACTGCTTCTCAGGGAGACAGCTGGATCCATTCCTTCCATATGTATTCAGAATCATTTTGGAGCTCGATGGGATGCCAGCAGGTGATGACACACGTCACCAATTAATGTGAAAGACGGGTAATTTATACATAGAAAGCACCATGTAATCCCTTTGAACAATGTGGAGCTTCAGAACCATCAGTGCTCTGTCAATACTTCTAGTAGCTTAAATTCATTGAAAAAGAAACCACTGAATGCTGAAGACATCTCTGTTTTTTAATTATGCTTAACATTAGGAGAAAGAATTAGCAAAACCTAAACAATCCTTAGTATGAACTGTCTCATGTGAGTGAAAGAGATTTATACTGTAATGCAGTTTTCACTGAATCGTTAGTGATGTGAAACATCACAAGTGTCAGACTAGAGACAAATGGAAATACAGTATGCAAGACAGTTCAAATATTGAATGGGATACATCAGCACTCCTTTTTGAGTTGGTGATTCCTGAACCGTTTCTGTCAGACACGCCTTTGAAGCAGCATCCCTGACATATCACTGACTGCATTTTTATCCTCTGCAAACAGTACTGAGACAACTGATAACAGACGCTGGCAAACAGAATTTTACTGGCAAACTGTCTTGATGTTAGCTGCATTTCCAACTGGTCTTTTCTTTATAGTGATGCCACCACACTCCCAGTCCTCAGCAATTAACTTAATACAGAAACAGACAGAAATGACGTGAGGAGGATGATATTACAGTGGCAAGACATTTGTAACAATCCACAATTATACTGAGATTTTAAGACGATTTCCTAATTTCATGGGATTTTATTGTTTATTTTGATACCTTTAGTTGAGCAGTCCCTGGTAGGCTAGTGGTTAAGGCGCAGTGCTCTTGCCACTGCGACCCGGGTTTGAGTCAGGGTTGCATCAGGAAGGGCATCTGGCGTAAAATGTGCCAAATGTCAACATGTGAGTCGTCATTGTGACGATTCGCTGTGGTGACCCCTAAATGGGAAAAGCCAAAAGTGACTTTCTTTATTTTGATATACAGTATATATGCTATACATACAGTATACCATATATACTGTCATGGCCAAAAATATTGGCACCCCTGCATTTCTGTCAGATAACACACCACTTCTCCCAGAAAAATGTTGCAATTTCAAATTCTTTGGTATTCTCATGTTTATTACTTTGTTTGCATTGGAACAACATAAAAAAGCAGGAATAGCCAAATCTGATACACTCCACACAAAACTCCAAAAATGGACAGGACAGAATTACTGACACCCTCAACTTAATATTTGGTAGCACACCCTTTGGACAAGGTAACTGAAATCAATCACTTTCTGTAACCATCAGTGAGTTTCTTCCACCTCTCTACTGGAACTCTGGACCACTCTTCTTTTGCCAACTGCTCCAGTCTCAGATTGGAAGGGTTCCTTCTCCCAGCTGCTGCTCTGAGATCTCTCCACAGGAGCTCTATCTGGACTCATTGCTGGCCACTTCAGAACTCTCCAGCTCACTGTCTGAAACAATTTCTGGTGCTGTTTGAAGTCTGCTTTGGGTCATTGTCCTGCTGTAAGACACCATGACCTCTGACAGAGACCCAACTTTCTGACACTGGGCCCTACACTGTGCCCCAGAACTCACTGGTAGTCTTCAGATGTCATCATCCCATACACACACAGTCAAGACATCCACTGTCTGAAGTAGCAAAGCAACCCCAACACATCAGTGAACCTCCACTGTGTTTGACTGTAGGGACCGTGTTCTTTTCTTTCAAGGCCTCATTTCGTTTTCTGAAAATAGTAGAATGATGTGCTTGACCAAAAACCTCTATTTTAGTCTCATCTGTCCACAGGACATTCTCCCAGAAGACTGTGGCTTCCTCAGGTAAGTTTTGGCAAACTATGTTTCTGTGTCAGCAGTGGGTCCCCCTGGGTCTCCTACCAAAGCATCCCTTGTCATTCAGATGGCAACTGATAGTGTGAGCTGACACTGTTGCACCCTGTGTCTGCAGGTCAGTTTGAATTTGTTTGGAAGTTGATCGAGGTTCTTTATCCACCATTTGAACAATCTTTTGTTGTAGCCTGTCATCTGTTTTTCTCATTTGTCCACGTCCAGATTAGCTACGGCGCCATGAGCTGTAAACTTCATGATGTTATGCACAGTGGACACAGGAACAGCCAGATCTCTGGAGATGGACTTGGAGCCTTGAGACTGTCCAGGCTTTTCCACTATTGTGGTTCTCAAATCCTCAGACAGTTCTTTGCTCTTCTTTATTTTCTTCGTGCTCAATGTGTTCAACACGACACAAAGGCTGAGTCAACTTTTCTCTATTTTAACTGGTTTCAAGTGGGATTTCTATGTTGCCAGCACCTGTTGATTGCTACAGGTGAGTTTCATTACAAATTAAAGGAGCATCACATGCCTCAAACAACTATTTCTGATGATTTTAAGAAGGTGTCAATGATTCTGTCCAGTCCATTTTTGGAGTTCTGTGTGGAATGGATCAGATTTGGCTTTTTTCTCTGCTTTGTTGTGTCGTTCCACTGCAAATTAAAGAATCAAATCTGAGAATTTGTGATTGCAACAATTGTCAGGGAGAAGTGGTGTGTTATCTGACAGTAATGCAGGAGCGCCAATATTTTTGGCCATGACTATACTATATGTGCGTGCATACAGTATGTACTGTCTATGTGTGTATGCCGTATATGTTGTTGTGACTCGCTGCCATTCACGTGGCGCCATCTATAACAAATTTTTCTAAAAAAGACAGAAGACAGTGCTTTCACAATTCAGCTGTCACTGTTGAGGGGGAAGTTGAAGGCGGCAGGTGTGGATCTACATCTGGTTGCATGGACCATCAACTACCTCACAGACAGACCACAGTTCATAAGGCTGTGTGTTGGATGTGGTTGTTTGTAGCACGGGGCCCCCCAGGGGACAGTGCTTTTCCCCATCCTGTTCACCCTTTACACGTCGGACAACTCCCACTACCTCACATGCAAAAGTTCTCAGATGACACCGCCATTGCTGGCTGTGTATCTGGGTGGGACGAGCGGGAATACAGAGGGGTTATTGCCGACTTGGTGGAGTGGTGTGGAAAAAAAAAAAAATCATCTGGTCTTGAACACCAGTAAGACAAAGGAGATGGTGACTGATTTCCGGTGGAAATTATTACCCGTCACGCCAGTGAGTTTTCAGGGCTCAGACATTGACATTGTGGACACCTTCAAATATCTGGGTGTCCACCTCAATAATAAACTGGATTGGTCCAACAATACAGATGCCCTCTACAAGAAGGGACAGAGCCGCCTCCATTTGTTGAGGAGACTGAGGTCCTTCGGGGTGTGCAGGGCACTCCTTCGGACATTTTATGATACTGTGGTGGCCTCTGTAGTCCTCTATGGTTATAGTTGATTTGTCTTCATAGTTTTTGTGGTGTGTGTTGTTGTTGTTGTTGTTTGGTGCTTGTCTTTTCCTTTGTTGCTGCTGGGGCACAGGAATTTCCCCATTGTGGGATTAATAAAATCTTATTTTGTCTTATGTACTGTGTGCATGCATATTGTGGACAATGTATAATCTCAGGTAGGACAGTAAAGGAAGGTAGAAAGGTACTTGGCATGTTATGTCTTCTGATACTAGATGGCAACATAACTAGTGTGGCTAAACAGGATAAGACTGACAACCATCTTAGTAACTGCAGAGGATATGTACCATATTGTTGTCAAAGAGGTTGTCAATTTAAATGATTAAAATAATTCTAAAACTTATATTTCTTCTGCCCATGCATTTTGATAAGGCTGGAAGTATGCATTATGGGTTTTCAACTGCTTTTGTAATGTTTCTCTTGCAGACATGACTGACTCAGGCACAGTGCTGGGAGGGAGGGAGCAAAAGAGAGACTAAATAAGAGAATATACTGTACGTTTGTCCACAAATGAACTTGAGTTTTCAGTTTAAACAAATAGTCACATATTTTCATTCTGTTAGTGTCACTGTTAAGGAAGCCTGTGCTAAGTTGCATTAAATAACCTTTTCTGCATTGCTTTTACATATGTTTACATTTGGGCCACCAAACGTAGGGGCTTGGTGGCCTGCGGGGCCATTGCTTATAAATATTAGCATTTATCCCTGAGTAATGTTACATCATTTGTAAGTGGCTAACAGGCATGAGGCAGTCTGTTCTGGGGGTGGTGGGTTGGCCCAAGTCTAGTTCTGTGCTCTCCTGTGTGACCCCAGAATGGCAGTAACACTTACTTGTTCAGCCTGGGGCCTGTCAGCATCTTCCTGGACTGCAGATGTGGAGGTGTCTCCCTGGAGGAGTGTGGAAGGATGGCTTTCTGCTCCTCCAGTCTCACTTGCTTGACTGGATAAACTTGACTCTGCCTGTTTGAACACAGAGGGAACTGCAGTCATTTACACTCCTCTCATAAAGATGGAAAGTATGACCTCAAACCTATATCATGATAAACTGTCACACTGATTTATGTAATAATAATAATAATAATAATATATACTGTGCTTCACCTAAAATCTTTTACAGCAGTGGTACAGCTGTGCGAGTTTCCACAAGTGTGCAACACCAGACATAGTTTTTTAGGATCAGTACGAATACTGTAGGTTATTCATATTCACCTTATTTGTGTGTTCATTAAACTGGAACCTTTGACACCTGAAGGGCTCAGGAGGCCCAGATGGCTGTCCTAATAAATGTCAAAGAATGAAATGCCTAAACACAGAGAGGAGTTTGAACCAGGCCGCATCCCAACACAACCAGCACATAAACACCATGTCCTCCCTGGGAGGGTTGTCTCGATAGCCTATAGCCCTGAAAGGCCAATGTAATGCATCACAAATGTAGTATCATAAATACTAAAGATGTAATTTTGATGCCGTTTCATAGGAGATATTTCTTTTTCTTTCTGGTTGTGCTACAGTATTCACCGAGAGACAGCTGCTGTGCTGATTAAACACATTTGGATAAATTAAGTCTTTGGAACTAATTAACTTTTCAAGTTTACACACCAGCTCACGGCTGTCAATCAATACATGAATGCACTTCAACTATACTGACATCATTATGACTGACTTGCAGGCTAGCAAGCTGCTGAACTTCAGTGTTAGCTCAGACAGCTACACAAAAAAGAAATGGGAGTTTTGAAGAGAAGGAAGAAAAGAAACCAACACAACTGGATTTAGATCATAAAGTAATATTGGTGTGGCTGTAAGCAGATAGTGAGAGCTGACAGAGAAGAAGGATTTACAAAAGGATGCTGGCATTCTTTCTGCTTGACTGATATGTTGGTAAATGGTCTTATACTTGTATAGCGCCTTTCTACGCTTTACAGCACACTCAAAGTGCTTTCACACTATTCGGCCATTCACCCATTCGCACTCCCAAGCACTCGCACATTCACACACCGGTGACATCACCGGGAGCAACTGGGGGTTCAGTGTCTTGCTCAAGGACACATCGACGTGTTGACCGGGCAAGCCGAGAATCGAACCGCTAATCCTCCGGTTAGGAAACGACCCGCTCTACCTCCTGGACCACAGCCGCCCCCATTTTGTGAATTTATTAATTATAGTACTATGATAACAATTCACTATGTTCTCAAACATCGTGGTCTACTTTTACAAGAAAAGACTGTTGTGACGATGTGGCTGGTTTTACATAGCCTAATGTTATGTGAGTTCATGCATAGTGCAATCTGGCACACATCAAATGCATAGTAACAACATGCACCGTGTTTAACTGATGGGAGAAGCTCAAACTTGTTGGTAAACTAGGCTATTGCCATATCTAGAAGAAAAACGTGCTTATAAGAGCATTGTTTCAACAGAAATACAAGTGTGCTGCCTGTCTCGTTATTCTGACAAATCCATAAGGCAACCTGACATTATATATTGTCTGTTTAAATAGGTCGCAATTTAACTGTTGTATCATATGCAGCTGTTTTATTGATTTTTAAATGCTCAGAAATATGTTCTTGATACTCTTTTGCATTTAAATACCTATGTCAATGCGGTCGAAATCATCACTGAAATTCATGCCAGTTGATTTTCTGACAGTCTAGGCCACATGTCAAACTTAAGGCCCACGGGCCACATCCGGCCTGGTGTACAATTACATCCGGCCTGCGAGATCATTTTATAAATCCTTTTTTTAATGGCCTGGTGATATGAAGTGCCGATAACACACAAACTACAAATCCCATAATGCAGCGCAACAGCTGCCTTACCGAACCATAGGCTACCTGCGATCATTCTGGCGTCAATTACATCAGATCAATCAAGCGTCCGCTGATGTATACAACCCTAATTTTAAGTCAAAGCTAGCCCCTAACAATGGCCAAGAGAAAGGCTGATTCTGAAAACAGCCTCTCAAAACCGGTGGGAGGCTGAGTATATGTTTACTGACATTGCCGGTAAACCTGTGTGTCTTATTTGTGGAGCTAATGTGGCTGTAATTAAGGAATATAACCTAAGAGGTACTACGAGACAAAACACTAGGACAAGCTGAAAAACGTGAATGCAGAGCAGAAGCTACAGAAGGTAGAGGATTTGAAGAGGAATCTGACATCACAGCAGACGTTTTCACTAAAGCAAAATCACACAGTGAAGCTGCTATGAAAGCAAGTTTTATTGTGGCAGAGGAGAAAATCAGCCCGGACATTTACCGGGGGAGAGTTTCTGAAGAGCTGCATGATGACAGTGTGTGACGTCTTGTATCCAGGCAAAAAGCAGGTGTTTGCATATGTAAGCCTTAGCAGAAATACGGTTGCTGATTTTAAGTTCATTTATTTTGGAATAATATTGTATCCTGTCTGTTTCGATTCATATTTATGTTTAAAAAAAAAAAAAGTTTATTTTTAGTCTGTTCAATAAAATTTTATCCTGTTCGGCCTGCGACCTAAAGTGTGCTTTGAGTTTTGGCCCTCGTGTGATTGAGTTTGACACCCCTGGTCTAGGCTGTATATAATTAAAAAAATAAAGAAAGAAAAAGAATGAATAGTTGAACAGTCACACTGAATAGCTGACTGACAGACTGACAAAATCCTTTGTTGGGTACAGCCCTGCTGGATGCTTACCCCAACCTTAACCTGATTCCAGCCTCACCCTTACCTAACCCTAAACCAAGTTGTCACTCTAAAATTTAACAATTTACATGATGGGGACCAGATGCTGGTCAAGTACCCACAATGTCAGTTATACCAAGTGTGCAAACATGCACACAAACATACATATTGTATATATCTATAAAATCAGAAAATGAGTCACCAGGATGTGGACATAGAACATGAAGCAATAAAAGATAGAAGATCATTAATAAAGAACAGTGATGATATACCAGTCAATTGGTAGTTTTGATTTTCTTTGTTAGACTACTATCAATGAAACCCATCATTTCCTGAGTATTTTTCAAACTAAAACCCAACAAGAAAAGGTAGGGGCTATGCTTTTTGAGCTGCTGAAGTGTTGAGTTTTTTGGCACTGTACATCCACAACTTCTGGTGCACAGCTACGGCCATCACTGGAACACACTGCTCCCCCGACGTGGAATATCTGGCAGTGAAATGCAGACCTTTTAAAATGGTGAGAGAGTTTTGCTCGATCCTGATTGTAGCCGTCTATATACCACCGCGAGCTAATGCTAAATTAGCACTGGAGGAGCTGTACTGCCTGATCAACAGGCAGATGAACGCAAACCCAGAAGCGGCTGTGATTGTGGCTGGAGACTTTAACCATGTGGAACTTAAAGCAGTGTTTCCCAGATTCTAGAGATTCATCAATTTTCCAACCAGGAACAATAACATCCTGGGTCAGGTTTATTGCAATATCCAGGGAGCATACAAGGCCATAGCAGCTCCACACCTGGGCACGTCAGATCACATCTCTGTGGAGCTGACCCCAGCATATAAACCTCTGATCTGCAGGACAAAGCCAGTCACCAAAACAGTTAAGGTGTGGACGGAGGAGGATTCTTCAGCATTACAGGACTGTTTTGAGCATACTGATTGGGGGGTGTTCAAAGAGGGCTCAGACCTGGAGGCTTATAAATCAGCTGTTCTGGACTATGTGCAGTTCTGTACTGATGCTGTCCTACCTACAAAGTCCATCAGGGTTTTTCCAAATCATAAACCATGGTTGGACAGTACAATGTCACATCTGCTCAAAGCTCGGGATGCTGCCTTCAGATCAGGTGACAGGTTGGCCTATAGCAGGGCCCGGAAAGAACTAAAGAAAGGCATCCAGCTGGCCAAACGAAGGTACAAACAGCACATTGAGGGGCACTTCATGAATAACAACACACAGAGTATGTAGAGAGGCATCAAAACAATAACAGACTACAGAGGCAACAACCAGCAGGTCAGCCATAATTACCTAACACTTATGTCAGGATGCTATTTGTTGACTTCAGTTCGGCATTTAATACTGTAATCCCAGACAAACTTGCACTAAAACTGCACAACCTGGGAATGCCTGCAGTGCTGTGTCATTGGATTAAGGACTTCCTCACTAACAGGTCTCAAGTGGTGAGAATCGAAAGCTGCACATCATCCACACTGGTCCTGAACACAGGCACACCACAGGGCTGTGTGCTCAGCCCAGTTCTCTTCACTCTGTTTACCCATGACTGTGAGGTCATTCACTCCACAAACACAGTAGTGAAGTTCACAGACGACACCACCGTAGTGGGTCTCATCTCAGACAATGATGAGACTCACTACAGAGAGGAGATCCAGCACCTGAGAAGGTGGTGTTCAGATAACAATCTTCTCCTGAACACCAACAAGACTAAGGAAGTCATTGTGGATTATAGGAGGTCCAGGAAGACAAAATATGCT